TCAAACTGCGCATCTCTTGGGACTCATGCGATGATATCGCTCCCACTGCTAATAATCGATCGATAACAGAACATCGATGTTGAACATTAAAATATCGATTAAATAATTATATGAGTCGTCATTGCCAACAATATTGTTTGTTACAATAGCAGTTTTCGACGGCTTAGCCACCATCATCAGTTTTGTAGTGCAAGAAAAAAAAACTGAATATTTTTTGATTTGGCAACAAAATTAGAATAAAAAGATATACTAATAATTTTTAGAAAATATACTTAATATTTAAGATCTGAAAGAAAAAACGGGCGTGGTAAGTCATTTAATACTACAAGAAAAGTGAACGAAATTGAATTTGAACATGTAAAATTTGAAACAGAAAACATGAAAATGTAAGTTGAGACATTTCTTATCTGCTGTATGGAAGTCACAAAAACGATTACGCGGGTTTGGGCGAGCCAAGGGGCTTAAGTACGCGGCTGCGGGTGGAGGAGGGTACTAATGGCCTGGGGTACGCTGTCTATTGTGCCGCCCCTGAGGAGTGTGGGAGTGGCGTCTAATAATAATTTTAGTAGAGCAGAGGGGCTATGGTTTATGTTTTCATTCAGTAAGTTGTTATTTAAATGAAAATGGAGGTTTTCTAAAGTTAATCTGGTGTGATATTGATTTTCTGTTTCCATTATACGAATATTTGTGTGTGGATTGAATGTATGGCCTGTCTGGAGTAAATGATTGGCAAAGTGTGATTTACAGGTGTTGTGTTTCCAAGCGTGTATATGTTTTTTAATTCTGGTATTAAAAATTCTGCCTTTTTGACCAATATATTTGGCTTTCCAGTCATGGCAATTTAGTGAATAGACACCGCTTTTTTCTAAAAGATTTGTGTTGTTTGGGGGACAGCATTTTTTGAGGGAATTCTCAGATTTGAATGTTTTGTGAATGTTGGGTACGACGTTTTCTGAAAGGGTTCCAAAATAAGATAAGCAAGTATACTTGTCTGGTATTTGTGTTATTGGAGAGAATGTAGTGTACATTTTTTGTTTCTTTTTGACTATTTTGCGGCGTAGTATGTTGTTAATGAGTTCTGTGCTGTAACCGTTTGACATAGCAATGCGTTGTATAGTGTTCAGTTTTTTCAGAAAATGAGATTTTGTCAGGGACAGGGTTAGTAATTTGTAAATCATGTAGTGGAAGGCAGAATGTTTTATGTTGAATAGGATGTTGTGAAGAATTGTGGATGACAATGTCTGTGTACGTCGATTTTCTGAAAATATTGAAAGTATGCTTGTTTTCAGATATCTTTATATTCAGGTCTAGGAACTTGATAGATTTCTCTTCTTTCTGTAGTTCTGTGGTAAATTGAATACTACTGTGTGTGTTGTTGAGAAAGTCAGTAAACAGGTTTATTTGTCTAGTCGTACCAGTCCAGAGAACAAGGATGTCGTCTACGTCCCGGTGCCAATATGTAATGTTCTTGAGAAGTGGATGGTTTGAAAGGAAGATGGTCTGTTCGAAAGCGTCCATAAATATATCTGCAAGTAGAGGTGAGCCCTTAGGAATTCCTGACGTTTGTCTATAATATTTGTTGTCAAAAGTGAAGTATTTTTGGTCCATGCTTAAGTTGAAGAGATTTTGGAGTTCATCACGAACGGGTATGGGACATGACGATTTGTCTACTAAATTACGTAGAAGTTATTTACACTCAGAAGTCGGAGTACTAGGAAAGATATTTTTTACATCAAATGAAACTAGTTTAGCATACAGTGGGACGGAAATGTGTTGAATTTCTCTAATAGATCGAGCCTGTTTTTTACAGTACATGAAGGTCTGAAAGTGTTTATGGAAGAGGATATTTAATTTATGAGCGAGTTTGTGTGTCGATGTGTTTGTGTAAGAGACTAAGGGTCTGATTGGAGTATTTTCTTTATGTAATTTAGGAAGGCCATAGAGTCTAGGAGGATAAGGGTTAGAAGGTATATATTGTTTGGGATACGGAAAAGTGCTTATGAATTGTTAAGTTCTTGCTTAAGATGGCAAAGGTACTTCTTGGTGGGGCCATTGAGAAGTTGTTAAACCTGTTGTCAAGAAAGTCATAGATTTTGTGGTTGTATTCATTTTTATTAAGAATCACTACTGTGTTGCCTTTGTCTGCACAGGTCCACACAACACGGAGTCCAAAACATCGATGTTAAAAATATCGACTTTAATATATGAATGTTTAAAACATCGATGTTTCTACAAAAGCATGGATGTTTTAAAAACATCGACATCGATGTTCCATGCGTACTCTGTACGACATCGAACTTGCATTATACCCTTGAGAAATAAGGTTTCGAAACTATGCAGCCTCCAGCCATGTGAGAGGTGGGTTTAGTTTTGACAGACATCAAGGGACTGGGGGAAATCTAAAAACGAAACAATTTGGGTTTTGGTAGGAAAATGCAAATATTTTGTTGGGTTATTCCACCAATCTTCAAACTTACGTTTACCGTCTGAAATGTCATAGTCCGTGCGTCACTGCTTTCGAAACTCCTGTGTCATGGGGCAGCAAGGTAGGAAGGGGCCGCCCGTCATTAAATATTTGATATCTTCCTGTTGCGATAAGACACAGCATCGTTTCATATTCTTGGTATGTAACAAAGTGTTACACTATATACATATATAATTATATAATTCGTGAAGCTTTTTTTGATAAAATATAGCATTTTTGTTTCTGTAAGCCACTAATTATTATTTTCCTCTTTCCGATCTTCACGTTTTTCAACTTATTTTCAATGTAACTTGATTTATTCATGAAATAATATGTACATTATATGAGAGATGGGTTCATATTAGTCAAACATCTTATTTTGAAGTTAGGGTCTATCAATCATCAATTAGTCAGGATAGCGAGAGCGATGAGAACCGCCTTGGCTCATTGGCAATTGAAATGACTCTCGCCTTTCCGCCTTACATCACCTTTCCTGTACAGTCTGAAACAATTCAGAACTTCTACTACACTGCACATGTGCAACTCAGGCACACGTGTGTGCCTGAAAATAACGTTCAGGATTTGTGTTATCTTTACAGTGCAATTTTAGTGCCTCGAGTGTCGCCACCCCCTCCTTTCCGAGGTTGGAGGTCTAGTCAACTGTCTAGTTAGTTCCGATTGCCGTTGCTTCGGACTGACTGGAACTACGCAGCACAGTCCAGTGGTCCCGCGGAGTGCTCACACTTTCTTGCTGTGTGGTCGTTCCTAGGCTTGTGGACATACAATGCGTTGTATCCAAGTACGTTTTAAAAACGCGTTGTATCCGCATAAGTATTATTACAACACATTATGCAATATGTATTGTAAGGGTGTTTTTATCTGTGGATGGCAACAATGTCGCATTTGATAGAGTAAATGACGCATGCGTAGATGTAGTTCTTATATATTCTCGTGGTTAGGTGAGAAATGTGAAGTTACATTTTATTACTTACACAATGAAATGTTATGGTGCCAGGGATTCGAAAACGTTAAAAAAGCGCAGTGTCTTTTGTACATCACACGCCTAGGAGGTTGCATTTAAAAGTACTACCCCCTTTTCCATAAAAAAGAGGACATTTAGACCTTTCTTGTAAAATCCACTCGGACAGTTTTTTCTTACTTCGAAAAGAGGACATGTCCGGGGAATAGAGGACGAATGGTAATTCTAAACGTATCTACAGCATGGGCTATTGTGCTTGGGTTTCATGAGCGCTTATGCTTAGCCCTAGGATTGACACAGTACAAAGATAGATTTGTTACAATGTCGTTATTAAATTTTAAAAAATAGGCGTTTTTAGTTTTTTTGTTAGATTTTGAAAAGGCTCTTCTTAGTTATTACATTATCATTGCCATTAAATAATCGTTCTCAGTAAAGAGTTGATTACCGCATGCTGGGCACGATGAAGAATAAGAACCATACCTGCACCATATTTATCGATGCAGATAGTTTCTCGTACACGTTCCTTGCTCTAATGGATTACTAAAAATATCTGTTGCTATCTTTATTCAGAAAAAGAACAGGACGAAGAGGTTTTGGAGCTCAGGGAACCGTTAAAAAATTGTACGTCTCCCCCATCGTCACATAGTTTTTTACTTTAAATAAGTAGAAAAAACTTTGCAATAGCGAGCTCTTATAAGATAATAATAAAGTTCAGAAACGTCGGCAAAATAAATGAATCTGTTTATCGACCATCTCCTCTTCCGAGAATTCCAAAAGAATTATTACTTAGAGGTGGAGAAATTTAGTACAAGGAAACATTTTGCGACAGTGAGATCAAGGAGTAGCAGCGCGTTATTCGGGCAGCAACCCGGGCCCGGGTGACTTTGTTCCGCTCATGTGTGCGCAGGTCGTTCATGGTGTTCCTGCACCCGCCGGCACAGACGTCGGTCACGGCCTTGCTTGCACCCTTCGCTCCGGCCACGTGGGTGGGCGCGGCGGCGATGGTAGCGTTGCTGGCGGCGGCGGTGCGAGGCGCGGCGAGCTGCGAGCACCGCTTCGCGCCCACGCCGCCAGCCCCCAGAGCCGCCCCCGGCCCCGGCCCCGCTCTTGTCCCCACGCGCCACGTCCGGGTCACGTGGGGGGACGCCGCCATGTTCGCCGTCGGTGTCGCCACGTTGCAAGGTATGCGCAGCGATCGAGGGAACGATATATGTGGGTGCCATACAGACCATGCAGACCTTTGCAAAAATTTACTTTTTAACAAGCCGTGCTCGAAACTAGTGATTCGACATCGATAACAAAACATCGATGTTAAAAAAACATCGACATAAAACCATCAATGTTTCAATGATGCTTAGACTAGTTACCAGTGATGGTTAGTGGAAAATGTCGTCAATTTACTCATTCGTGAAATAGGCCTATTCGAAGTATTCATTTCTTTCTCTCCCTCCCTCTCAACTGAGCGTCGTGTGATGCCTCTACTCAATGGACGTAATTAACATTTTTTACTGATTCAGTTGTACTTTAATTCAATATCTATTACCTCTGATGTGGGGAAAATATGAAGATGGATTCAATGATAATTACGGAGACTAGTTTAAAAAATGGGAGTAGGAAGGATGGGATGCGCCTCTTGCTGTGCCACGGTAACGCATTAGCACCAGGTTGGCCAACCCCGGATGATTTCTGTAAAAATTCATATATTGAATGAAATTAAAATGATTTTAAAATATACATTAATGCTCAGGGGCGCATCCAAGGGAGAAGGGGGTCTCATGGGGCTTCAACCCCTCCTCCCCAGAAGCCATTGATACATATTAAAAAATGTAGCTTTTACTAATGTTCTATACTAACGAAAGTCATTCAGTATATCAGTTGTTTACGTTATAAATACGAACTGTAAATCCACACTTAAAAATATATTCAGCATAAAAAATGCTGTTGAAAAATTCTTTATGAGAAAACATAAAGATGTCTGGACTCTATAGATGTAGCGCCTCTCCCCTCCACCAAGAAAAATGCTGAGTGCGCCATTGTAAATGTTATTATTGTTGTTATTATTATTATTATTATTATTATTTTAATATTAAATTTGTAAGTTACAAAGACCATAGTATTATTTTTTAAATAATTTGATTTCTTCTGTACAATATTTCATCGTTGTTTGGCGGCCCTCATGGTTTGTTCACGCCGAGAAGCCTCTCAGTCCTCACCATCTCGATGCGTTGCTGATTTTAGGGACCAGCTTGGAGGCGCGCTGGGTGTCGAGTCGGCTGCTGCTGCTGGTGGCGTTCGCCTTCACCGTGCTGCTGGACGCCAATTACAACGGCGCCATCGTGAGCGCGCTGCTGGCGCCCGCCCCGCACTCCATTCGCACGCTGCGCCAGCTGGCCGAGAGCCCGCTCGCCGTGGGCCTCGAGGACATCGACTACAACCTGGCGCACCTGCAGGTACCTCACCACACTGGCTGCGCTTTACTTCCTGTCGCTGTCATGTCGTAGTGAGAATAATTAAAGTTCGGGTTTTTATGTAATAACTATTTTTTGTCTTTCATGTTTATTTCTTAAAATTGTGAACTTGGCGGATCACAACAATCTTAACACAATATCTATTTTTCTCGTTACATATTATGACGTATTTTGTACTATATTAAATACTAGTGAACCTGGCAACGCTTAGCTATTGCTGTGAATTACATATCACCCACCATTGGTCGCATTTTTGCTTGATTGTGCAAATATTCTAATAGATGAAAGACTTTCTCGCAAGTATGGGTTTGTTCTGTGTCGTGGTTTGGACTTAGAAGTTGTCAAGAATCTTATTGTTAAAACGTTCTCGCTCAAATTGGGACATGCGTTCGCTATGACTCTATCTTGGAGAAATTTAATTCACTCATCCAGATTCAAGTAATTATACCGGCCGATATTTCACAATCGCAGGGGCAGAATACTTGCATGCAGTGAAGATGCCCGTAATACATGACTGTGCGGCGGGTTGTGTACAGTTCAGGGGCACTTGAGTCGTGAAAAAACTATTAATCATCTTCATCATCAACTTCGCACAAGCCCGAATTAAATCAAACCACTATTTAAACATTCCCATTACAAATAAAATACAAGTGTGAATATTTCAGCAAAATCGATTGAGTAGTTTTTGCATCCATGTGCGACACACATATGCACATTCTCTTTTATTTATACATAGATATAGATTTGACATATTTTGCTCATATTTTACATATGTTGCAAAAGTTTATTATTCTTCTGATTTTCAAGAAATTTATTTTGCAAAGATTGTAGTGAATTTGCAAAGATTTTATAATTTTTATTGTCCTGTTTTTCCTTCAGTGTTACTGTGATTGTTTACCGGACATTGAGTTCCCTTGTTTGCACAATGGCTATAAAATCTCCCAAAGATAGAAGTGTACTCTCAAAACATCTAGTAACTAGACCACGCAATATCTATTTTTAAAATTGATTTAATACATTTATTTGGTTTGCAAATGTCATACGAGCTGAGAGTCACTGTGGTGACGTTGAAGCTCCCGATTGGATGACAGCGTCACAGCTGTGCAAGCGGCAACGGCAGTAGTGACTCGTGCCCTCATGCGTTTGCGCATTACAGAATAATGGCATTAAGGAGGCTGAGATTGGAATGCAATGAATTTATAAGTACTTATGAGAAATACACTGAACTTAATATTTCTCATTTTTCTTCAAGATATTCCCATTTCCACATTAATTATCATTATTTTAACGTATTTAAATATAGAACATGTGTACTTCATTTGTCAAAGATGAATACAAATTTATCAGCATGCCTTTCCTTACTCGTATAGAGTATTGTGATAACTCTTTCATTAAAATCTGCTGTTTGGCTAAGGAAGTCACGCTCGATGGAAAGCATGGAAAGTGCTGATACTTTATCTTCTGCAATTGTATTGCACAGGTCTGCAATTACCGTGCGCAACTAAAATATATTCTATCTCTGTCTCGTCAGCTCCAACAAGAGATGCAGTACTGCCAACTTCCTCGGGCAACAAATACAAGATCCATTTGCATTTTGATTACCTGCTTTTCCATAATCCTTTGTACAAAATTAAAAATATAATGTAGAAATTCGGTTTGTGGAAACTTACAAGAAAATTAAAATACGATTCTTATCTGACATAATATCGTCTGCAGTTTGTAGTCTGCAGAAAAGTCTAACTCGGTGTCTGTCGAGCGCGTTGAGAACGTGGTAGGAGCAACTCTCCGGTGATGGTTGACTAACAACATTGAGACATCCTCCCCGCGATGCACCATCTCCTCGTCCCTGGCAGCCACTGGTGTATCTTCGCCTATATTCCAAGGTTGAAGTCGAAGATGTAGCAAAGCAGTATACGCACTCAGACTTGCAGTAATCGTGCTGTTTAATTTCTTGTATCTACTTTGCAGTTAAGTCCAGAAAATTGTGATGTGATTATGACTTACAAGAGTAGTAATAATCGACACAAATGTCCTTATTTTATATAATTCCTATGTACTCGTATAATGGCGATATTTTTCGTTTATAGCGCAAACATGCTACAACCGGCACGAGTCACTATCGGGGAACAGCCTTAATGTTTTAATCGAAGTATAAATGTTGGGTCTCTTAGCAGTGATCGCAGCGTGCGCGCGCGGCGTACAGCATTCGCAGGACCCGGGCGTAGAGCTGCTGCGCGTGCGCAAGCGGCCGACGGCGCTGCCTCTGGGCGAGGGCGTGCGGCGCGTGGCGGGGGGCGGGTTCGCCTTCCAGGCCGAGGCGCCGTCGCTCTTCCCGCTGCTGGACGCGCAGTTGGACGACGCCGGCCGCTGCGCGCTCGCTCACGTGCTCTTCATGCCGCACTCCATGCCCTACGGCGCCGTGCCCCGCGGCTCGCCTCTGCGCGAGGACGCCACTCACGCGTAAGCGCCTACTTCGACTTAGTCCCTTCACTCACATAGGCGCATCGAATGGGCTTCCGAGATGAAAGCAATGGTTTTAAATGAGTTTCCTCACCAGTTCAGCGCGCAGACACTGTGTCGTGCATGGCACCTTTGCCCCGCGGTTCGCTCTGCGAGGAGACTCACGCGTAAGCGCTACTTCCACTTGTCCTTCAGCACGGGTCCATTCAAGCTTTTACAAGATGGCAAAGCATCGGTTTAAGATGGAGATTTTCTCACCGGCGGCGGAGACTCTGTGTCGTGGTTGGCACCCGTGCCCGCGGTTTCGCGCCTCTGCGCGGGATGCACTTTCAAGCGAAGCGGCCTACTTCCATTAGTCGCTTCACACGTGCGCCACTCGAAGCGCTTCTGAGATGGCAAAGCACTAGATATTAAATGCAAAGATTTTCTCACTGAGCGGTACGTAATAAGTTGCTGTAGGCAGCGCCACTTGATTGCTTCTGTGTGTTTTCCCACAGTCAGGCTGCGTGCGTGTGGGAGAAGCGGGCTCTTGAAGTTTCTCAGCCGGTTGTGGATCGCCCGAGAGCCGCAGTGGCAGGCAGGTCGCGTCCGACGCCGAGGAGCGGTCCCGGTGGCGTGCCGCGAGCTGGCGCCCTGTGCGTCTGGCTGCTCCTGGCTGGGGCGCTCGGCTGGGGGGCGGGGTGGCGGCTTGGCCGCCGTAGCGCTAATATTTGTACTCACGCCTCGGCCGCGCATGCCGTTTATTATTATATATCATTTCCTATTTTATTAGAATTCTATGTATATTATCTTAATATATATGTTATATTTTAGAAGATATTGATTTTTGTATTTTATTTTTTCATTTATGAAATTTTTTATAGCAATGCGGAGTTTAGGAGTAAATGATGTCGTGTGATGGTGTGGCACTGTTATAATTCATTTATTGATTTTAATGCGTATGTGTGTAGCAAAACGTAGACGATGTATTAGTGTTGTTGGATGATTGATGATAAGTATGTTGTATGTAGAGTTTTTATTTTTTTTATTATAATTTTTTATGTTTATTTTTTTAAATTTTATATATTTTATTATTTTATTATATTTTATTTTATTTTATTTTTATATGTTTAATATTTAATTAATGATTATAAATTTATTATGATAATTATATATTTATTAATATTTATCTTTTTATTTAATTTTATATTTATTTATGTTATTATATTATTAATTATTATTGAGTTATTTTGTATTCTGTTAGAGCTTGCTGGTGGATTTATGTTATTCACTTCTCTTTGCAGAGCGGAATGTGATGTGTGATCTTATGTGATTATTTTTTAATTTATTGATATGGTTACGGTGTGAAGGGAGAGAGTGGCATTAGTATACGTATGTAGGTGTTGTGAATTATATATACGGCATGATAGTCGTGTGCGTTGGGGATAGGAATCATGGATTAACTAGAATCTGATATTAGGCTCTACATGATGAAGGGTGGAGGATAATTGACCTCTTTTTTCTGTATTGATTTTTTTTGAGCGTGAATAGCTGTTGCGTTAGGAGCGTTCGTAACCGAGGCAGCAGGAGATTGTAAATTCGAATAGCATGTGTTTCGGAGATGTCGCGCAGTTTTGACACACTGAGGCTGATTTATTCGTTTAGTGATGAATATTCAAGCTTGTTCATGGAGAGTGGATGTAGCACTGATGTGTGTGCTATATTAATATAATATTTTTTTGATTGAAATAGATCATTATAAATTAATATTAATTAAAATGTAGATACTATGTGATGAGTCATTGTAAATATTAAACAATTTATTATATAATCTATTAAATAATATCATCTTTTTAATATTATTTATTTTATATTTTAATTTTTTATTTAATTTAATATATTTTATATCATAATTTGTATAATTTTATTAATTTATATTTAATATATTTTATT